CACCAGTAAAAAGAGTATTACTTGCTGAAAGCTCAGTGGATGATTAGCAATTTTTAGCAACAAAGCTTTGTTTGGGTTTTTTGTTTTTTTTTTTTGGTGAAGATTTTATTTATTTATGAGTACAGGCCAGAGGTGCAAGGGTGGTGAGAGGATTATGTGTGTGTGTGTGTTCTCATTATCTCCTTGTCTTAATATTCATAAGTAACATCCTCTACCTACTTTCCTGCTTCTTGCTTTTATCACTTAACAGTAGCTGTTGAAGATCACTCCATATCATCCACATAGCATGTCTCACTCTCATTTTTAAGGTTGCATATTTCATATTTCAGTGTATCAATATACTTTAACCACTTTTTACTGATAGACCATTAAGTTTCTAGTCTTTGACTATCATAAGTAATGCTGTGATACATGGCATATTTTTGCCAGGTTGTCTTTAGATGTTACTGCAATTTTTTCCTTGAAGTGATATTGCCATGTTCCCTTCCTCTGGGATATATTATTTTGCATTCTCATTGACAGTATTTAATAATAACTGTTTCCCTTGTCAATAAAATAAGGTTGCAAATTTTGGGGGTTTTGTCCTTTGATAGGTAAGGAATGTATTTCAGTTTAGTTTTCATTTGTATTTCTCTTAGAAATAAAATTGAGTATCTATATGATTCAAGACTATTTGCATTTCTTCTCCTGTGTACTGTACTTACATTTTATTTACTGGGCCTTGTAAGCTTTACTAGCTCTTTTTCATATTAAGTAATCCTTTCACCTTTACAAAAGTGGCAGATACTTTAACCAAGTTTATCAAGTTGTTGTTTTGCCACAAAAGTTTTAAATTTTACATTATCAGAATTTATTAGTCTTTTCCCCATATCATCTGCATTTTGAGTTGTTCCCTTGCCTAGGGAAGGATCAGCAAATTTTTTCTGTAAAAGGCCAGATCGTAAATATTTTAGGTTTTTGAGGCTAAGTACATCTCTGTCACAGATTATTTCTTGCTTTTTGTTTTTTTCTAACAAAACTTTAAAATGTAAAAACCACTATACTTCATGGCCATACAAAATTAGATTTGAACCTTGATTGAAATTTTAATCCATTTGAAATTTGTTGTAGTGTATGATGTGAGGAATGAATACAATGTATTCTTCATTTGTAGCACTGTCTTTTTTTTTTTTTTTTAAAGATTTATTTATTCATGCAGAACTGGGGTACAAGCCAGAGATGCAGAGGGTGAGAGGATTCACCAGGGATAGAATGGAGAGCAGAACAGGCAGATGGACGAAGTACACTGCTGAGGGGAGCAGCGGGCGGGTCAGGAGAGGTCTGCCACGCCATGTGGTCTCCTCCAGGGCAGGCGGGATCGAACTCATGCGGAAGTGGCCCAAGCCTCTTAGTGTAGTGTTTTAACCCGCTGCACCACCAGGGAGGGCCTGTAGCACTGTCTTTTTTTGTGGAAATTTTTGAAGCATACATAAAAGTGGAAGGAATAGCACAACAAAAGCCCATTACTCTTCATCAGAATTCAACTATTATCGACAAAAGGCTGATCTTGTTTTAATTTTTCTCCTTACTTATCTGCTGCCAATGTTTCTTTTTCCTTCCCCACTGAATTATTTTAAAGTAAATTCCAGGTGATACATAATTTTGTCTTAAATAGGTACCTCTAAAGTATAGACTTTAATGTCATTTTTAACTTTTTATTGACATTAATAAATTTATTTTTAATTTTATTATGTTCAGTGTGTACATTTTAATGGGTGTAAGTACATTTTACAGATTGTGCGCATCTCTTTCTCTACATCTTTGCATGGCTGGACCTATGGCCAATGGTAGCTCAGGAACCTCTTTTTTTTCCTTATCGTTTATTTGTTAAAACAATGAGCAACTTGTCTATATTACATCCCCATAGTTCATTTAACATGTTTTCCTATTTTTCTCTATTTCTTCTGAACTAAAAATTTATACCATTACTTTTTATTGACCTTTATATTTCTAAAATGCCACTGTTCATTCATAAAATTTGATACAGTAACTACCCTTATCTACAGTTTCCCTTTCCTCAGTTTCAATTACAACTGGTTTTCCACTGTTGGAAAATACTGTGCCTCATGAGATATTTGAGAAGAAAAAAAGACCATATCCATGTGACTTTTATTACAGCACATTGTTGTAATTGTCCTGTTTTATAATTAGTTACTGTTGCTAATCTTTTCTGTGCCTAATTTATAAACTTTTTAATAATTTTTTTAATTTAATAAATTTAAACTCAAATAGATATAGGGTCCAGTACTGTCTATGGTTTCAGGCATCCAAAGGTCTTGGAAGGAATCTCCTGCCTATAACTAAGAACTACTGTAATTACTAGAAAAGAAATGTATAGGAAAGATATAAACAAAAATTGACTGCCCATAGAACCTCCTTACTTCTTGTTACCTATTAAGAATCCACTGTTCTTAAGAATTTCTTTGTGTTTAAATCAGAGCTTAAACAATCCTTATAAGACAAAGGATTCTGAATAAATTTTCAAATAAGATTACCTATTATATACTTTCTAGACATTGAAACCAAACATTTTCTTGTATTTAAACTTAAAATAATGGAACCAAAAATAATAATTATAAACAAATGGAATGTTTTCTAGTGTACACACAAAATGCTCACTAAATGGTAATGAACATAGCTAGTTTATAGAAATCAGAATTCCTTAGGTTTATTCTCACAACAAAAATATATGCATAGAAAAACATTTTCATTATTAATGTTTTTACTAAATTACCTTTCACATATAGAGCAAAACAGTTTGACAATTAAAGAATTTATGAAAGTGAAAGATTCTCATATCCTAGCTCGTTAATTTTAATTTTGCTTTTTGTTTTTTTAATAAATGAACAGGATCCCTGTCAAAGTTTGCCTTACCTGGAAAATCAGAAGTGGCATCTTCCTGCAATATGAGTAATACAAACATCTTCCAGAATTATGCAATGGAGGTATAGTTTGGCTCAAAGGAGCATCTTTATATATTACTTTATAAAATTTATACTACTTAAGTATTGATAGGCTCTGTACAGTAAGAAAACATTTAAGAATATGCTTAAAATCCAGTTTTCAGACATTTTGTACTTCAGATCACTGAAGTCATACTTCAGACAGTTTCCAGGTTTACATTTTGAAATGAATTTTTAATTCAGAGTATGCCCAGATCAGCTAATTATAAAGTTTTCTGTCACACAGGTTCTCATCTCAAGTTGTTCTCGGTGTAAAACCTGTGATTGTCTTGTCCATGATGAGGAAATCATGGCTGGCTGGACAGCAGATGATTCAAATCTCAATACTACATGTCCCTTTTGTGGCAATCTTTTCTTACCCTTTCTGAATATTGAAATAAGAGATTTAAGACGACCTGGGAGGTAATGATTTATGCTTGTTCCCCTCGTGTTTAATGGTAATGCTTCCTAGAATTTCTTTTTCTGAAAAAACTCTTCTTATTCATATTACAGATATTTTTTGAAGTCAAGCCCATCTTCAGAAAATATGCATTTTCCATCTTCCTTTTCAAGTCAGACAAGGCAACCTGGCATCTCTGCATCAGCGACTGGTCTTGACACATCTGTCATCTCTGTTCAGGGGAATCTTGATCTAAATAGGTAATTATGATTATGCTGAGGTATGTTTAACAACCTATGTGTTTCAGAGAGTAACAGCACAAATAGCTGTTTTCATGTTTAAGTGTTTATAATTTATCATTTTAAAGTCTTAATTAAAACAATCTTAAAATTACCTAGTAACATAAATGTTTAAAAGTTATGGTTTTTGTTATGAACCCCCAGAATTTAAATTTGTAATTTACATAATGTTTACTAGAATTTTAAAGATGAGAATTCTGAGAATTTCTCTATCTTTTCCTGAATTAATTTGGTACTTACTTTGGAATATGCCTAACACAGGCATGCCTTGTTTTATTGCACTTTGCAGACGATGAATTTTTTTTTCCCCAAGATTCTCCACCAGTAAAAAGAGTATTACTTGCTGAAAGCTCAGTGGATGATTAGCAATTTTTAGCAACAAAGCTTTGTTTGGGTTTTTTGTTTTTTTTTTTTTGGTGAAGATTTTATTTATTTATGAGTACAGGCCAGAGGTGCAAGGGTGGTGAGAGGATTCACCAGAGACAGAGTAGGGAGAAGAACAGACAGATTGATGAAGTACACTGCTGAGGGAAACAGCAGACCGGTCAGGAAAGGCCTGCCATATCATGTGGATCACCTCCAGGGCTGGGTATTGAACTCACACTGAGGCACCTGTGGCTAGCTTGCAGTGCTGCCCTTTAACCCGCTGAACCACCAGCAATAAAGTATTTTTTTAATTAAAGAATGTGCATTGTTTTTTAGACATAATGCCATTGCATACTTAACAGAAAACAATATAGTGTGAACAAACTTTTATATGCACTGGGAAACAAAAAAAAATTGTGTGACTTGCTTTATTGCAATAATCACTTTATTGTGGTAGTCTGGAGCTAAACCCACACTATCTCTGGGGTGTGCCTGTATAAATAAATCTATGCTTAAAAGATGTATAGAAATCAACTCCATTTTGAAGAAGTGCCAAATAGACCATACATATTTGGGCAAATGAAGCCATATTGGTAATTGCATGTTTAAAAGAAAATACTTACAACGTCCTGGCAAGCAAATATACTATTTGATCCCAGATGCTTAGCAGCAAAACTGCAGATCTGTATGCACACCTGTTTTTCATCAGAGGTGTAGCCTTTTTTGGTCTCCCACTGGCTTGTGACTCCAGGAATAGGTGCCTCTGCTTTTTAACGTTTCCTCTGTTTTTTTTTTATCCCTTAGGCATAGTATGCTGTCTGCTGTATAAAGGTTGTCGATTAAATGCTTTGAATATATGATGAATCTTAATATTTAAAGTTCACTGGATGAAAAGGAAATTTAACATGACTGCACTACTTAAAAATATTTACCGTTTCTAGCTGAAGCCTGAGTGGCATCTTTTCTTTGATTTACTTGGCTCTGTCCAGCTCTAATTTGAAAGAGAAAAACATGGTCTTTCTAAACGAAATAAAGTAAATCAAGACACTGATAAGCTTTTTTCTTTTTTCAATTTCCCAAGCAAATCTAAACTGCTGGAAAATTCATGTGCCCGAAGTATTCAGATCCCTGCTGATAGATCAAAAACAACTATATCAAAATGTCCAATATTTCCAATGGCCAGGAGTGTTAGTACCTATGGCCCTTTGGATAAAGAAGACACTGGAAGACAGAAGCTCATTCCCACAGGCAGCCTGCCCGCTACCTTACAAGGAGCTACAGTATGTATTTTGGTTGTTTTGAAAGTTTGCACAGGATAACTTACATATGATTTCATTCCCCTCAGCCTCAGCCTCAGCAGCATTCTTAGTTTCACTTTTATTGTTGTCAAGAAGTCTCTTGTCCCATGATACAATTAAAATAACCTTCTACATATAATAAAAGCATTGACAGAATATTTTCTTAATGATTTAGTGTCTTCAAACCTCTATTTGCCATTTACTAATTTTGTTTGTTCAACAGGATTCTTTAGGATTAGAATGGCACCTCCCAAGTCCAGATCCTATCACCGTTCCATATCTTAGTCCTCTAGTAGTATGGAAGGAACTTGAAAGCTTATTGGAAAATGAAGGTGACCATGCAATAACAGTGGCAGACTTTGTAGACCATCATCCAATTGTCTTTTGGAACCTGGTGTGGTATTTCAGACGTCTTGACTTGCCCAGTAACTTACCTGGATTGATTCTTTCTTCTGAGCATTGTAACAAGTATTCAAAGGTATGAAAGTAAAAATTAACTAAAAGGCAGTGCTACTGTCACCACTGGAACACTTGCATATTCCTCATGCAAAATAGTAGGGTTTACTTTTATGCTAAGTATCTTTAATAACCATCTGAATCATTAGAGCAATAGTTTATTGTATTTACAAGTAAATTTTCCTCTTACCAAGTTATATTTTTTAACCTTTTTGTAAAATTTATACAAAATAGTCTTGAATTTGCTTTAAGTTTAAAAATAAACTGTAAATGATGCTATGAGAAGAGTTTGTGAATATGGCCTACTCACGTCTCATATCTCCTTCAAAAACAAATCTACGTTTAGTAGGATGTCTGTAATTCATGTTGTAGTCATATGCTACTATTCTCTTTATTCCTTTACTCTGAATGTTTGCTTAACATTTAGTTCATTTAACATTCACTTGTTTTTTTAATGTTCTAGTTTTGCGTTTTATTGTGCTACCACCATTACTAAAAGGTTTCTAAATTCAGTATTTTTGCCTTCTCCCTTCTTGTACTTCATATCAATGGTTTGCATATACTTTGGATATTCAGTCCCTCTTGAAGGAGTAGCCAAAAGTTGAATCAGAGTTATCGGGGCTAGGGTGTTAGCCTGATGTAGAGTATTTATGGATTTCTTTCTGTGGACCCACAATCATAAACTGGTTCAGGTTAGTCCTTTATGGTGCCCTACCTCACGATATCAAGGCTTTTTTAAATCTGCTACTTTGTAAATCATTACCTTCTAGAGTCAGCCCATCTTCCTTCAGTGGATGTAAAGTGCACACAAACCAGTCACTTCCTGTTTTCTTCTCTCTCTTACACACATACATCCTTAAAATATTTAAGGATATTTATAAAATATTTACAAAACATTATCATGGAAGGATCATTAATGTTTTTTTTTTCTATAACATAGATCCCTCGCCACTGTATGTCTGAAGACAGTAAATATGTTTTAATACAGATGTTATGGGACAATATGAAATTACATCAGGATCCAGGGCAGCCCCTGTACATCCTCTGGAATGCCCACAGTAAGTGCTGTCATACAATATTTACTTTGCAACATTGAGAGTCATCTCTACTTTGCTTTAAATAACCTTAACTAATGTATAACTGGATTTTATTATATTATACTACTTTTTGTCTTACAGGTCAAAATCGTACTCTTTTGTTTGAGAGTGAGTGTTAAGCTTGATATTCTTAGTACTATCTTTTCTGGAGACCAAGGGAGGGTTTTGTTTGTTTCTGGATTTTGGTTTTTTTTTGAAGGGTGCTGTATATGTGCTGGAGGGGTTATGTTTTATTATAGAGTTCTGCTTTCAGCACACTGCTTGTCCAAGTGTCTTCTTTTTACTTATTTTGTTTGTTTGTTTCCATCCCAAGCTGCTGATTTAGATTTCCTCCAAAGGCTATATTAAGAAAACCATATTTTTTCTTAGTTATTGCCTGTTTGAGGTCACAAAAAACTTCAGACTATTTTTATATTATTTTCCTTTTTTCATTCTTAGATTTCTGTCCCTTTATGTATCATCCTTACATTATTTTTAGTGCTTTGTATTTAATAGCTGTCAGTTGTTGCTTAATTTCATTCTCCTTTATTCTCACATTTTCCTTCATTTACTCTTGTTCTTTTTATAGCCCAGAAGTACCCAATGGTCCATTTATTACAAAAAGGTGATAACTCATTTAACCAGGACTTACTAAAAAATATGGTAAAAAGCATTAAAATGAATGATGTCTATGGACCAATGAGTCAAATTTTAGAAACATTAAACAAATGTCCTCATTTTAAACGACAGAGGTAAGCATTCTCTTGAATGAATATATTGTTCTTGTAGGCAAATTCATATTGTTTGTTTAGTAATTTGTTAGACTGTCTCACCGTCTAATATTTTCTCTACTTCTTCCTCTCCCCTAGGAGTTTATATAGAGAAATACTATTTCTCTCACTTGTGGCATTGGGAAGAGAAAACATTGATATAGGTAATTCAGCATAATATAAACTCTATAACATTTATGTGTTATGGTATGGTTTTATGTCAGTAGTTTTCATTATATTCATATTAAATTATATTAATATATTAAACAAATTGTTTCTTTGATTTTTTACCTAATACGAGACCTTGACCATATTAGTAATAATAAAAGCTAAAATTTTTAAAGGTTTACTACATTGCTTATAGGATAGCAAGTACTTCCACTTACATTCTCAGATTTTTCACCCCAAACCACTGTGAGATAGATGCTGTTTTTATTTCCATATTATTATGGAGGCAGGTGAGAGCCCATGAGATTAAGTAACTAATACTCAAGTTTCATAGTAAATAATAGAGCCATAGTTGAATTAAGCACTCCTAATTTTCAGTCCTATGCTTTTAACTGTAGTGTTTTATCATTAACAACAATTAATTTGTTTCAGCAAGGATAAGGTAACTAAATTTATATTTTAGGTGATCCAAGACTTTTTTGATTGATCATCATCTCGTCCTCTGAGTTCTGTGTCTTACCTCATTTAAAGTTTACATTTCCATGTCCTGATTAAGGGAAGAAATAGCCCCTGGTAAACCAAAAGGAGAAAATTAGGGTATGTTAGGTACTGAGAGATTCATCAGAGTCTTACCAGTTTGTCTGAAAATCTATAATGTGCACAGGTTGATGAAAATGATCATTGATACATATATAATTCATCGTTCTTGAATGGTATCTGACTTGGGTTTCTTATATTTATCAGTTAATAAGAGACTGTTATAGGTAATACTTGTAGTAGGTGATTGTATTCTGTCTTAACAGGTAAAATTTATATATATAATTTTGCTATTTGTTTCTTATCTGTTATCTTTTTGGACCTTCAATTCCTCCATTAGTGCCTTTTATGTTAACTCCTTATTTCCTAGTATAGCATTCCAATTCTCTTTTTTTTTACTATGTGCTTTTTATTTCTATTTATTTTTTAAAGGTTTATTTATTTATGCATATAGAACTGGGGTACAGGCCAGAGTTGTGAAATTTTTCTCCTGTTTTTATGTAAAGGGCAGCTACATAATATTTGTATACATAAAAAATTATAAGTCAAATATAGTTATGTCTCTTTTAGTCCATCCATCAAATAGCTCCTTGATTTGAATTAATTTTTTCTTTTTATTTTTCAATCATGTAATGTAACATCTGAGTGCAGTGTTCCCTGACTGTTTCTCTTACTCAGACTTATTTTTTCAGACAAAGATGCTAAACACTGATCTCTGTTGGGTTTAGATTTATAACTAATTATTTTAATGCCGTTATAGAGTAAGCCAGTTTCCCTTTCCTATCTTCTATATCAGCAGAGTTATTTTCTTTCTAATTAAGTTTCTTTGTTCCTTATGGGAATTGAACTTGTGCTGCAGTGGCTTAGTCTAACTTCACAGTGCTATGCTTTAACCTGTTGCACCACCAGGGAGGGCCTGGAACTTCAAAAGTCAAAGTGTTCACTAATACTAAAGTACTATATTTGTTTTTATTAAAGCAGAATACAGTCACCTAGTACAAGTATGATCTGTAATATATTCTCTCATTAGTTGATAAGTGGTTTTAAGTAGTGTACCCAAGGCAAATATATGTATCAGTGATCATTTCATCAATCTGTTTATATGATTAAATCTCAGACAGAATGCCAAAGCTCTGCTGAAGCCTGACAGTCCCAATGTTCTTTTTATCAGGGGCATTTCTGCCCTTAATCAGGACTTAGAAGTGGAAATTTAAAGGAGGTTAAACACAAGAACTGAAAAGAAGAGATGATGATAAACCCAAGAAAAAAAATAGGATTCAAGAAAAAATAGGAAATCTTAATAAACCTATAACAAGCGAAATGATTGAGTTTGAAATCAAAAAGCTTACAAAGGAAAAGCCAGAGCCAAACGGTGAATTCTATCAAACATTTAAAGAATTAACACTAATTGTTATGTCTTGCACATCTGTGTCTTCTTCCCCCACCACATTCCCAAATATCACATGTTGAAGCCTTAATATGTGATGGTATTTGGAGAAAATGACTTTGAGAAGTAGCTGTGTCATTGAAGACACAAATATATGATCTAAAGCTATAAAAGTTTTAGAAGAAAACTGAGGAGAAAAGCTTTGGGACATTGGATTTGGCAGTGCTATCTTGAATATGATCCAGAAGCACAGACAACAACAAAAATTAAAAACTTGTGCATCGACATACTCTATCAACAGTGTATAAAAGCAACCCACAGAATAGGAAGAAATAGTGACAATACTATAGATCTAATAAGGGGTTAATACAAAACTCCTAAAACAAAACAAAAAACAACCTTTTGAAAAAAGAACACAGGACTTGAATAGATTTTTCTCCAAAGAGGTCAGACAAATGGCCAATTAGCACTCTCTAAAGATACCAGGATCACTTAAATATTAGGGTAATGCAAGGGAAAGTACAATGAGATACTACCTCACACCCATTAGGATAATACTATCAACCACAAAAATAAAAAACAGAATAACAAGTGTTGGCAAACATATGGAGAAATTGGAACGCTCGTACCCTTCTAGTGGGGATGCCAAATGGTGTAGCTGCTCTGGAAAACATTATGACATTTCCCTCAATAATTAAAAATAGAACTTCTGTATGATTCAGCAATTCCACTTCTGGATATATACCCATAAGAATTGAAAGCAGAGTCTCAAAGAAGTATAAACACATCCCTGTTCCTAGTAGTATTACTTACAATCCTGTCCATTGAAAAATGAGTGGCTAATCAAATTGTGGTCTGTATAATAAAATATTAAATTGAGTCTAAAGACTACAATGTGGATGAAATTTGAGGGTGTTCTACTGAAATGATCCATTCACAAAGAGACAATATATGATCCCTCTTATGAGGTATTAGAGTTCTCAGAATCACAGAGATAGAAGTAGAATGGTAGTTGCTAAAGACCTGGGGGGAAGGGAAGATGGTAAATTAGTGTCTAATGAGTGTAGAGATTCAGTTTTATAAGATGAAGTTATCAGATAGATGTTAGTGATAGTTGTACAACATTGTGAATATATATAATATCACTGAACCGTACAATTAAAAAAGTGACTTGATGGTAAATTTTATGGTATATGTTTACTATTTAGAAATGTAGAAAAAACAGCTTAAAAAGTTGGCAACTTAAAACGTTTAAGTTTCACTGGTCTATAAAATCTAGTTCTAAAATACTATATGGATTCTGAGTTCCTTGCTGTGGTTCTGCAATTCTGTTGTCCTTTAATTTGCAGGAATGACCCCGAGATTTCTTATTTTCCCCTGATTTTTTTTAAAAGATTTATTTTTTTTATTTGTGCATATAAGAACTGGGGTTAGGCCAGTGGTACAGGAGTTAAGAGGATTTACCAGAGACAAAGTGGGGGGCAGAACAGGCAAATTGACATGGTACACTGCTGAGGGAAGGAGTGGGTGGGTCAGGAGTGGTCTCTTGTGCCATGTGAGTCATTTCAATGGCTGTGCTGCAGTGGCTGCCAACACATAGCACTGAGACTTAACCCCTTGTGCCACCAGGGAGGCCCATGGCCCCTGATTTCATGGTCTTTAGTAAACTCTAAAATACTAATTTTATAGTATTAGAAAAACTTGATGTTGACATCAAATATAAATTTCTTTATGCCTTTATTTCTTCCTGAATTTTTGCAGATGTATTTGATAAGGAATACAAGATGGCTTACGATCGTCTCACACCCAGTCAAGTCAAGAGTACACACAACTGTGACAGACCACCAAGTACAGGGGTGATGGAATGTCGAAAAACATTTGGAGAACCTTATCTTTAAGATGTGTATGTGTGTGTATACTTTGAATATGTATTGTATATTCGTTGTATAAAGTAACACTTTTAGACTAAACTTTTTCTCTTCACTTTTTGAAAATGCATTTGTAAATGGTTCAGAAAGTCCAGATAACTCATGTACAGACTGTTTAAGAAGAAAATTGTGACAAATAGGGAGGGAGCCACTTTGTTTCCCATTTATTTTTTTTTTAATTATTCTTCAACAAGTAATTAAGTATTTTTGTGATGAGGAAATCCCTAACAAAAATTAGTTCCTATAAAATAAGGCAACTATTTTATGACTTTTCTTGGAAGAGACAGATTTAAAAATCATATATGGAACCTAACCAAATGTAAGATCAAAGTATCTCCTGTTTTCATAGATTATTCGAATGTTTTGACCATGAAGTTGTATTATACATATTTTAAATTGTTTATAGTAAGTTGATATTTTTTTAATTTTTAAACTTAATATAGCAAACTTCAAATGAACTTAAGCAATGAAATGCTTATTTTCCTTGTCTGCTGCTAGTTGAAGTAATTAGTACAGCTGCAGATCTCAATATGTATATCTATATTTTTTTTATTACTTGGGAGGATGACTAAGAAATGTTAGTGCTAGTGTCAGTACTGTCCTAGGGTTGCGTGTTAGTGCCCAGTCTGGCTGCAGTGAGTGGTCCTGGCAAGGGCAGCCTGCGGAGAGTCCATGCCTGCCAGTACAAATCAGGTTCAGCATACCAGGATTCCAAAATTTTCTCTATTAATAGATACAGAGTACACAGGGAAAATAGCTTACCAAGCCAAATATCAATTTAAATTTTAATATTCTACATGAAAGCTTATGCTGGGAAATGTCAAATCACTTATCTCAAATTTTACCTTTATTTTAGTAACTAAAATATTGGGTATAATGCAAATTGTATTATAAAATATTTATCTAGAACATGACCTACTGAAGTGTTCTGTCAATATTATATATATATAAATATTCAACATATTTTTTGAAAAGTAGAAAAAGGACAACTCTGAAAGTACAGCCAGATAGCATTTCCCATATTGAGGAACTTGGCATTTTCAATAGCCTTCAGAATCTGAAGTTTACAAAACCTAAAAACCCAGAAATATCTAAAAATCAGAAAATTGATTGAATGTTTAAGTACTGTGGATATTAAATAGACTCTTAAAAAATATATTTAGTCCCATTCTTTCTAATAACCACTTTCTCTGGTAATTTCTGATTAAAAATATCCTGTGGCTGTTAGTTTTATCAATTATTAACATGTGTGTGTTTATGTTTGCACACATTGGCATTAATGAAAGAATTCTCTAGCCAATTTCAAAGAAGACAGGATGGTCCTAAATTAGGTGCATAAAGCCAGGAGAGTCTATGCTACATGGGCTGGAGGTATCAGAGTTTTGAGACTTAGAATCCATTCAGCTACAGAAAACCCACATTTTGAGTTCACACCATTAGTGGTAGCATCATGCTGAACATTTAACAGCTTTCTACTCTGGGAAATAATGGAGAGAATTTTAAAAATGTAAAATTTTAGTTCAGTTAGTTTGGGACTAAACTTGCTTACTTGAAAAATCTGGTGCTATGCACATATATCTGCCTCTTCTTTGTAAATACCACTCTAACCTTACCCTTCTTTACTGTTCAGATCCAGGCTTCACATTGATTGAGTCTTAATGTTCTCTAAATCATTTGAAGTTGTCAAATGAAAGAAACTCTTGATAGATAATGCTTTTTCATTGGTGACAAATACTCCAAACAGGATATTCTGGGTTCTCTTTTCTTTTCTTTTTTTTTTTTGTGGTGGTGGTAGTGTTTGGCTTATTTCCCACATGAAATCTGCTTTCAAGATTGTTTTACTTTTCTGTAACACAGAATATGTAAAAATCATGGCAAGTTGATTTCAAACATCTGACCCCCCAAAAATGAGGTAAAATCCATTCTTTATGGTTCAAACTCATTTGGAAAAGTGAATGTAATTTTTCTTTCTTTCCCTCCCCATGGAAAGTTTTGCCTCTTTGTATCTCCCTATTTTTAATCCCAAAGGAATGTTAGATGCACAAATTCAGTTTCTAAAAATAAAACCTAAAATATGAACAGAAACTAATAAACCCTGCTCAAAAGAAAATTAAAATGTAGAGTACCCTTTAAAATAACTCTATACTAACTGCGCAGTTTCTCTCTGTTGATCATAAATTTGGAGAATCATGGCCAATTGTGTTGGAGAGAAATTGCCTTTTGCTACATTATCTGTCTCTTATTTCTTATTCTTAAGTTTCACTTATGTGTTCAATAGTTGAAAATAAACCATGCTGTGTCCTGGCCTAACTTGCTTATACTTCCTCCCATGTCTTTTGAATGTCACACCATTTCTATTTTATATCAATTTCAGCATTCAGTTTTTTTCCTCCTTTTGTCAAAGGTAATTCTGCACCTTGTTCATCTTCTGACTTTTTTCTTTTTTTCCTGATTTTTTGGGAGGGAGTTTTTTACTTTAAAATCCTAAAACCACCAGCTTACTTTCAGGTTTTCTAAAATGCCTTTCAATTTTTGTGTATAAAGAAATGGCCCCTAAAACTGTTGGCTTTAGCATTTTAAGTGATACTTATTTTACTTTATTTTGGTATTTACTGTAATACTTTAGCGCAACTAGCTTGCAGACTGTAGAAGTTATATTGTATTTCTTGTAAATATATGATAATAAATACCCACTAGAATTGGAAGGCTACTACTAGGGACTTTCTCACAGAGCAGGCTGCCTCTGGGAGCACCTCCAGTCTGCCCATGTGCTAAAGTTAGCGTGTCCTGTCCCTTCCTGTTTGGATACAAAACTAAGCTTTTTTTCAGAACTAAATTCTCTAGTAGCTGCATACCATTTTAATTTAACATCCTCAGTACCTGTTATCTTCTTCTTATCCCATCATACTATTATTCTGGCTTCAAAGGAAGTACATTTGCTGGCTTGATTAATTTTGTTTATAGACTTTAGCAATGCACAAATTAATGTGAGAATTTTCTATCTCTGATTCAAAAAATCTGTGTGCATGTGCTTATTTTCTTGAAGTGATAACAAATTCTCCTGATAAAGCTGCTGCAGCCTTTCCACACTTGCTGTTCATTTGGACTCCTCCCTCCTTTTGCACTGATTTTCTTTTCAGAGTACAGTGATAAAACTATTGATGCAGTTGGTGGAATATTTATACATGAAATTGTCCAAGCTTCACCTGCTCATCAAGTGAAGGGCCCAAGGACCAGACGTGTGCCTGTGGTTGTACAGGCCTCCCTCTGCCAGGCTGTAATAACTTGCACAGGGATGGACACAGGCACTCTTTGCACCTTTCTTAGCAACCTGTGCCCAAAGCACTTTGCAAGCTGTACCTAGTTGGGGAGCCACCCACCAAAAAGGCTCAGAACCAAGGGTATTCTCATATAAAGCCAGCTAGTCCCTCAAATATATCTACTAGACTATACCCCAAATACTATTCTGATTCTTTCCCCCCATTGGTACTCAGTCTTTAAATAAATGATCATTATAATATTGTGGTTAAATATGATCGTTTATGATAGTGTCATAAAAGGCCAAACTTATAAATTAATTTTTAAAAGTTTATTTTCAACCTATTGATGAGAGTACAATATAATGTTCAGAATTAGAGTAAACATTTAAACACAGGCTAATTTCCAAAAATTTGGAGTTCATCCCTTTTTTCTGGTTCTGTGTGGAAGCTTAACCATTAGATTATGAAACGTTTCAAAAATTTAGCCCAAATCTAGAGCCATCAAGGAAATGCAACCTCAGGCGAATGAAAGTTCTCTATTCCAATTCTAGAAGTCACTCTTTTCCAATTCAGACCTCCACATGGCGCAGAAAGACCCTGAGTGAATGGCCTGGAATTTGCACCATGTAACTATACATATCAGTTGCCTATCAAATAAAAGGACTCATGATTACCTTTACAGAATACTTATAAATGTCTGATAAATTATTTAATTTCCAAGCACAACAAATTCATCTTTCAGAAGATACATAGTTTTCCACCTTACTGAAATCTTTCTTCCCTCCTTTTCTCAGTGAATTCCTATTCATCCATTAAGATCCAGCTTTCATTTAGATCCTTGATCCTTTTTATCATAGTATAAAATGATCAGGATTTCTTTCTAGGCAGAGAAATTCAGCAAACTGATCAAGAAAAGATTGTTAGAGCATTAAAGTTTGTTTTAATCTTAAAATAGCTATTATCACTTTGTCATTGCATAGTGGTTCAATACCATCACTAGTCACTCACTCATTTCAGGAAAGAGCAGCAGATTCCGGGTTATCAGTAAGGAGATGACACCCCGAGGCTAGCTGGAATTGGCTGCAGGTACAGGGCCGGCACCCAGAGTTTGCTATTGGGAATCACCCTTCCATCAGCATTGTTCTCTCCTCCTGTTCTTAGGTCATGGCATTTGGATACCTAACCAAGTGATACAAAGATAGGAATGAGCCCAACCATGTTTGTAAAATAAAATACTATTGAGACTCAGAATTCATTGAAATTTAATAAAAGCCATTTCCAAGAATAGGAATTCTGGGGGAATGAAGCCATAAATTAAACAGTTCATCTCAAACGGTGGACTGTAGACTAAAGTACTTTGAACTCACTCATCAAGACCAAAATGTTAGATTTCTTTTTTATATCACATCTGTCCATTTATCTTCTAGTCTTCAGTGAATCCGCTCTCGTGTTTGTTAAGTAAAGCTATGTTTACCATCATAACCTGCAGTCATCTGAGTTTCTTTTGTTCCAAAACCAGTACCAGCACATACTCATTTTTATGTCCTTTAACTTGGTATTAGTAAAAGCAGCAAGCAGTAGTATTTAATATAGCACTTAAAATTCCACATAAAGGGCTTAAATCATCATACAGTTTTTAAAAACACAAGAATCCTTTACGCTGGCCACCTTGGAAGCAGTGATACCCTTTATTCACCATGTTGTCTTTGTGTTGAACAGTTTTGGATTTGTACCTTTGAGGTTACCATAAATTACATAAGCATCAATCTTTCTTTATAATCCTGTCTCATTTGACAAAAATAACATTGCCCCATGGATCTCTTAGTTTACAAGCCAGATTTGGCTCCATTGACTAAAGTCAACAGACTGTTTTTAAAATTGTTTTACATCTTGTTCACTAGTAGCTGCTGTTACAGCTAGGTGACAGTATGCTGGAGGGCAGAGCAGAAAGCTTTGTTAAAATGTCTAATTCCTCAAGGTGACCACTTGATGGAAACAAAACTAACTTGACTTTTCTAATAATAGTTTTAAATAACCCTTAGAAAGTAGCTTTCCTTCCCTAATATTCACATCTTTTAATTCAAGGGCAAATAACAAATTTTAACTTCTTGAGCTATTTAATTTCACTTTCAGAAGTATAGCGGTAAGAACAAATGTAGGCCTTTTAAGCTACAAAATATTTTGTATGGACTATGTTGTATAGTGGTAATTCCTGGTTTTTTCCTCTATGGCCTTAACTTTTACCAAAAACTTAACCTGTAATGAGTGCAATCTCACAGGACCTCATCCTTTGAACAGAGGAGTCAGCAAGTTCAGCATGTGTAGGGACCAAGGGCCAGGGGCCAGGAAGATGAGATGTTGACTGTGCCTGCATCTTTTGAATCCATCATCTTTCAGGAATGATAAGGGAACTAATTGTGAGCTGGGGGGCTGTCTTCATGCTACAGCACCTGTTCCAACCTTCTTCCCCAGTTATCACCCATTTAGAAAAACCTGTGACTCCAGAAGTGCTTCTCTAGCATCCAGGCAATAGCTGTCTGCATCAGCTACACCCCTCCAGAGGTGAGGTTCCTAATCCACAATGAGCTGCAGGGGATTCTAAGAATAAAGTTCAGTCCTAGATCACAGAGGCTCCTGGATCATGTTTGTTGTTTCATTAATGTAATGAGGTACAATACTTCTGGCCTAGTTTTTTGATCCGCATCCATTGTGAGCATCAGTGACTCGGACTCAGACAGATACCGGACAGGATATGATTCGATCTTCTAACATCACACTGATTATCAGGAATACAAAGTAAAGGAGGAACATTGTGAAGCCCAGGATCTTGTTCATTCTCCATTTGCATGATGCAATTGAAGAGATCACAAACAAGAGCATAAGAAAAAGCAAAACAATCGCACAAAATAAGCCATTACTGCTGACTGGAACAGGCTGCAGTCCATTGATAAGAGAGAAAAGCAACCAAGGAACAGGCAAGCTGCAAGATTGAAGAAAAAGTATGAATATTCTTAAGGTTTTTAATAATCCCCTATATATATAAGCAATATTTTGCAGTTACAAGGCACTTACCTTCTTTTTTTATTAAGCTAATATTGCTCTACAACTTTGTGATTTAGAGGACTGAGTTTTCTGTCATATTTCATGACATGTTTAAGACTAACCCAGATTGTGATATATAATTCATTTTTAAATTTTTATCATAAGGCCTAGCACAAAATAACATTCATTTAAAGTCGCTAACTGATCAAGGTTCTCGTACCATTTACCTACCCCACTGCACATACACACACACACACACACACACACACAAAGTTGAATTAAAGAAACCAAAGCCACCACCCAAATCCAGCACATGATTGGGGAAATGAAAATGGCCTGGGTGCTCTGCTCTGACAAAACTGGGAGATGGAGTGAAGGAACACACACAGAAGGATATGCATTTGCTTATTTATACAAAATGCTTTCAGAGCCTCTGAGCTGGCAGGAGCCCAAATGCAAAGAAGCAGGACTATCAGGAAATGAGACTGAGTCACCACTCCTTCCAACCCCACCTCCACCTCCTTGGAGGTCAGTGAGCAGCATATTTGACTGTATTTGGTAATGGAATTTAATGAACTTCATTTTTCAATTCATCTATAAATTCCACTCAGTTACATTCCAAGCAGCATTCTAGTTCTATTAATCCCATCTGGTAGTGATGGATACAAGGCTTCTGTGTTGCCTTGTAGAAACTAATATAAATGCTCTTTATTCCATGTATAATTAATGAAGCCAAGCAAAAGGAGCCACATAATGTTTTCCAGTCACACTTAATATGGCTTAAAAAGCAACTTTGCTACTCACCCCACAGTGATATCAAATATGTTACTGCCCACAGAGCTTGACACGGCCATGTCACCCAGGCCTTTCCGAGCAACAATCACACTGGTGATGAGGTCAGGAATTGATGTCCCTGCTGCTAGGATTGTCAATCCCATAATCTCTTCAGAAATCCCTATCGTTTCACCGACCTGGTAAACAGTAATGGTGATGAGAAACCATAGCAACAGCAGGTGAAAATGTGAGCCTCTTCAAAGCACCACCTACACACTACTGTGTCATGCCTTCCGAGGAGCTCAGCACAGTCAGCCTGAGAGGGTTGAACAGATGTCTGACGACAGACATGGGCCACCGGGATGAAGAACATAGCCCCTGCTTAACACTTCATGGAATGATACTACTCTTTTTTTAAATTGGACTCAAAATTCTGTAATACCACCCACATCACCTCTACTTCCCCAAAGAATGGCTCCTCCATAGTGCTGTTCCTGTCATGTCTCCATTTCCAGGACCATGGACACCTGCTGTGCCAGGAACTAAATGAGAGGCTGGAGATGGAAGTTTAGAGCAGGACAACACAGACCCTGTTCTCGGCCTAGGGAAGGAAAAAAGCTTGTAAACAACAGGTACAGCTCTGTGCTAAAGTATTCCAGGTGACAAAAAAGGTACAGACCCTCAGCAGAGGGCTGATTAAATGCTAGAGAACAGGCAAATGAGCTGGTTGGTTCTCATGACTGTATGTATGGTACATGACAGGAAAATGGCTCAGGAGAAATGGTCAAGCTGGACCAGGTGGTAAAGGGTCTCCCATGTCACACTACCATGGCAATACCTTATAAGATTAAAGACACTTGAAAAGCTCTTACAAACAATGTAGAAACTACAATTCACTCTGTGCTCACCATTCCATGGGTACTGGAAATTTACCCGGAAGGAAAGAAGTGGTCTTGGAACCTGCCATTATAGGATTTAGTTCCTGATGTTCACTCACCTGGTGAGCCCACCACACCATGAGGTACGAGAACATCGCTATCCACGTGATGGATCCCAGAAAAGTGAGAATAAAAAACTTTTTCGACTCCTGTTTGCAAGTTTGAAAGAGAAGAGAAATAAGTTGCAGAGGCTAAAGGTTTTTGGCTTTTTTGAGGGAGCCAAAATCAGTTATAAGGCCTGATGGAGCAGTGATGGAGACCATCTGAAGACACTGGAGCTAAAAACTCTGTTTCCTTTGAGGCCTGGCGATTGCTGGGAGAGGATGGGGTTGGTGACCTATAGTGGAGCCTCATCGGTGAGGTGTTCAGCAGTCACCCAACTGAAGAGCTATGAGCTTGCTATAGAACCAGACCAAGCTAGGTGTTTGGATTTCATTTTTGCAAACTGCCCCACCACCACCACCACCACACCACCCGCCTCACCCCTCTCCAGTCTCAGAGACAGAAAGAACATAGACTGCCTTTGAGTGGAATACATTAGTCATACCTTTTCCTATAAAAAGGACTGCAGGGTAGAAATAGCACCTAGTGCCCTAAGTTTTCAGAATCTCCCTGTGTAATGTAGGAGACTGCAGTAGCACCATCCACTGATTATAATCAAGAATCTGAGATGGGAGATAAGAAGCTCATACTCCCTACAGTGGCAGAAATAGAGCATTTTTCCAGCCCATTTTTTTGTTCCTAGGTGAATGGTTCCCTCCTGCAGACAATGTCATCCCACAGTTCCTTTGTGGCTGAGCACTGTTCTCTCCCTCCATCCTCTTGAGTGGGAGTGCCCTGAGACCCCACATACTCCCTGGAGACGGGCAGCCAAGAAACTCACCTGCTTCCGGACATCAGGCACTGTCAGCCACAGGGGGAGCACAATGGGCAGAAGGAAGAGGTAAACGGCCTGCTTCTGCCTGGTCTCGGGCCATTCCAAGGACAAAGGCTCTTCATTTTCCTCCTCCTCTTCTTCCTCTTCATCCTCCACTTCCTCCTCATCTTCACTATCACCTCCCTCTTCATCATCTGTACCCTTCTCATCACTGTTGGCTTCACCTTGATTTTCAGTGCTGAATTCCTGCTTTTTAGTTTCACCTTCATCCCCTTTCATATCACCTTCATTTTCATTGTCTCCTTTTCCTTCTGTATCAATTTCACCTTTACCTTCTAGTTGAGTTTCACCTCCATTCTGTGCTCCATTTTCCCCTTCAGAAGCATCACTCCTTGCAGTTCCAGCCACATGTCCTTCCTGTAATCCAAAACCAGATTAGTGGATTAATAATTGCTCTACTTGTTTTCCTCCCCCCATTTCTCCCATTTCTTTGTTGTTGTTGTTGTTTTTCAACTATATCTAACATGTATCCAGAGGAAACTAGTGCAATTATTCACAAGATTCCTTCCACAATATTCCTCCCCAGTGGTTGTCTTTATTTAATCTTAGTTTAATCATTTCCAAGTAGGGAGAATTCACTACCTAAAGCAGCTTCTGTCATTTAACAACTATGATTAGTTTGAAGTCTCTGTTTATTTAGCACCAAGGTTCTACCTGCTGTGTATAGGTTTGCTCTTTCTGGAGCCACAGAGAATAAGGTTAGTCACTCTTCCATTAGATAGCTCTCTATGCTGGGTTAAAGATTTCCAGGTTCTTCATCATTCCCGCACACCACTGCTGAGAGCCTTCTCCCCACCTCATAAACTCATTCTTTTAAGATTATATCCTATGAGGAGGCTTCTGAAACCCTACAGAATTTTCACCTCCCTTATCTTCAATATTATACATCCACTAGTGTTGCCTAATATGGTCATGTCAAAAGATAACATGCTGAGGCTACTAAAACTCCCAACTGTTATATTACCTTATAAGTATAAAATAATGAAGATGGTTATACCTATTTATTGAAGTTGTCACATGTAAAGCACCATACTGTTATTTAACAACAACAGTAACTAGAAACATTTATTATGCTTCATAGTCATTTAATTCATAATACTAGTAGAACTAGACTCATCTGACAGAAACTAAGATAGTGTATATTTAAATAACTTGCACATGATCCACACAGTTTATAAGTGAAAAACTTGAGATCTGAATATAGGTAGTCCAGTCCTAGCCTCTTAGCTATCACCAAGCTACCCTGCATCCCCAAAGCCAAGACCAAATGATATCTTTGGTTGCCAAACTTGGTAGCCTGGTTACTGACCTGGTAAGAAATACAGACTTCCTAGACCAACTGAATTAGAATCTCTGAGAATGGAAGCAAGGAATCTGTTTTTGAAATGCTCACAAATGTTCCTAATAGATCCATCTGCAGTTGGAACCACCGACTAACTGCATGCACTCAGAAAGCCACTGCATCTGAGGGTCCTTGGATTAGACATGCAATTAACCTGTAACAGCATGGCGCTCCCAACACCCAAGGGAAGTTCACAGAGTCTCAACTTTGCTGCTGACTCGATCACCTAAAGGCTTTCAAGGCCCAAGGACCCACCCCAGATTTTCTGACTTAATTGGTTAAGGGTGGGGTTGGGCACTTTTTAAAGCTTCCCCAAATTATTCTAATTATTCTAATATGCAACCAGAGTCTAGAACCCCTGATGAAATAAAACATTAATATCCATGAGGTCTGTGCTTCAAATTGAGAAAAAAAAAAGATATTAGACTGAAGTAAGTCCTGTTCCTATCAAGAGAGGAGACTTCATGGGGCTGATAGATGAGTTACTTAAAATCATAGATATAGGAGTATCTTTCCAGCCTGCACCCTCTTCTCTGAGAATTGTCATCCTTCTGTGATGGAGTCAAAGCACCACTCCTCTCACTGCCACTGTTGCTTGGTTACAGGCTGGATCCATGAATCATGACTTGGTTTGAACAGATCCTCTCCTCTTGGAGATGCTGGCTGATCCCCTGTGGACCAAAAGGCTGGGTGGTGGTTTAGGGCTAGATGGGCTCATAAGGCAGCAAGTGGAACCAAGCTGCCAGGAGATGAGCCTAGACTCAGAGAGACGTGAGGGAGAGAGGCCAAGGCACACCTCCTTGTGAGGCCATGCTTCACTCCCTGCCCTGGGATTCCAGGAGCTACCTCTGTATCCCTTTTGCTTGAGCTGGCTGTACTGCGCCTACTCAGGACACTCATGATACCACAAAGATGTCTTAGAAACTGATCCTGAAGTGACTGGCTTCTGCCTGTCAAATAGAAAAACAAACAGGGATGAACTTGTAAAGTCAATGCGTATGTACTGTCAGCCATTCAACCCTTATTGAGCACAGTGGGGAACAGAGGCAACTTAAACTTGGATTCTGCCTTCAGGGACCTGATCACCTAGCAGGGAAATAAAGATTCATCAAGAGAATGCAAGGAAAGCAAGAGAATACAAGGAAGAATGCTGAAAGAGGGACCAAAGTATCATGGGCATTGAGATGGGAGGAGGGAGGGCTAAAGCAGCTTCATAGCAAAGGAGGCATTTTATAGCAGCCTGGAAGTGAGGGTGAGAGTAGGCTATATGGAGGGGCAGTGGAAACGGCATTCAAGGGGAGGAGGAGGAAGCCATAAGGGCAAAGGTCTGAGGTGAAGAAGCATGAAGACAAGAAGTCCAGTGTGGCTGGAGTTTGGGTGAAGAGTCTGTACAGCTATACAGACAGCAGAGTCTCAACTAAGCCTCCAGGAAAGGCTGGGTGGGTGCAGTTCAGATCCCTGAACCATGATTTGGTTTGAACAAATTCTCTCCCCTTGGATACTGAGTCTGCAGATGAAGCTGAGGTGCCTCCGAAAGTTCTTAACCAAACAATGCTCTTCCCTTGTCCGCATTCCCAGCTGCGTGGTCTCACAAGCTGCCTGGTCTTGTTGACCCATAGCTGTGGACAGACCCAGCAACAGTTTGTTCCTTACATTCTCATAGCATGTAACAGTCGGCAACACATTCCTGTATATGTGACTGAGGTATTATAATGAATTAACTTGACCCTCAGAGAAAGAAAATGCTCCTCCCAGAGGAATGAAGCTCAAACCACATTTCAGGCCTTAAAGAGGGAAGTACTTTTGGTTAGTAAGTCCTTCCCTGGGCCTCAAGTTCCTCCACCAGGGAAAAGGCTTGTGCCTACCTGACTGCCAGGATCCTCAGCCTGATTTCCCTTGACGGCTGGAGTAGGGGCTGGTGTGACTGACTGACTGCAGGGAGCTTGGCTGGCTCCTCTCTTTAAAGGACAGACATGGGGTAGGTCAGAAGAGTGTGCCAGGTTCTGAGGACAGCTGGTCAAAACTAGTGTGACTCCAGGGCTATTGGGTTTATCCATTTAGGGGCGCTTGTTGTGGGAATTTCTTGTTATTAAAGTAAAATGATGCAGTATGAACTGTTAGTGCAGATGCGAGGGCAGGTGGGCAGTCTCTCCCTCCAGTACTCACATTTCCATCCTGGCTAATGTAGGCCGTAGACACTGAACAGCTGGGACAAGTGGGGTAGAGGGCAAAGAAAGCTCCAACTCTCAGGGTCTCACCCTTTCCCCAACAAGCTTGGGGAGGGTTCTCCTGGTAGTGCAAAGGTTGTTAAAGCACAACACTATGAAGCTATCTGCAGCCACTGCAGCACGAATTCAATCCCCAGCCAGGGAGCTGACCCACGTGGCACAGTAGATCTCTCCTGTCTTGCCTGCTGCTCCCCTCAGCAGCATATTTCAATAGATCTGTCTGTTCTGCTCCTCACTCTGTCTCTGGTGAATCCTCTTACCTCCCACACCTCTTGTACGAATAAATAAATAATATGCAGTTTTTTTAAAAACTGCATAGGGAGGATCTTGTGACTTAGGAATCCTCAGAATAGCTTTGGGGGGCCAAGGGCCTTGAAAAGCCTCAAGCATTAGGTTTAGGTATTGTCCATCTTACTTCATGGCTGTGTGGCTTTGGGAAAATTATTTGACCTCATCTGAGCTTCTGTCTCGTCTTCAGAATGGGGCCGTGCTGCTCTATCACCTCCAAGGCTACAGGGTGCCAACAGACACGTGTGCTGTCCTGAGGTGCTGTGCTGAGCCCACAGAGCAGAACTGCCCCTCTCTTCTGCCCCAGCATTCACACAGATGCTGGGCTTCTGTGTCATCAGACTCTTGGTGGCCTTCCCTCACTGGGGTTGCCAAACTGAGACCAATCCCTAGCTGCACTATCCTTGTGTAGACGTGACAGGAAGAAGTGAAGTCCAACAGAGTCTCATCTGGAACAAAATTCAGCTAAAAAGAAGTGGAAGCTCGACAACCCCTGGGCTGGCCTTGGCCACCCCATCTGAGAGGAGTGGGAGGGAGTAGTGCAGGGTTGTCCTCAGACCAGCACCCATCAGCAAGGGAGCCCCGGAAGGAGACCAAAGTTCAGCACAGCAAATGTGCAGGCAACACCAGATCACCCTGACTGAGAGAAGCCACAAGCTGAGCTTTGGAGGAAGGAAGGTGACAGAAGAAACTCCAGTTTTCACCATCCTCTCACTTCCGGTTTGCTATCTGCTTTGGCCTGGGTCTTGGCTTTGAATGACACAGGAAACGCCTGCCAGTGTCCCTGCCACAACTTCAGCTGTGGGTTGTGAGTTCTGGTTTCTGGTCTTACCTTGTGAATGGTACAACTCCCAACCTTTCATCTTAAATTCCCTGTACTGCTCCTACTGGCAGTGACATTGGCAAATCACTTCCCCTCTCTGGGCTTATTCCCTCTCTGGCAAAATGGCATGGTGCAACTCAGGACAACAAATAGGATTGATTTTCTTTATGAGCTCAAGTGAGAACTGCTTAAGTGCAGAATTGAGAATGCTGACCCAAGCCTGGTAGGAAAATAGCACGACTGGGTGAGTGTCTACAAGGGGCAGTGAATGGAGAAATAGACAGGAGAGATTTTTGCCATCCTTGGACTAGATTATCTGGAAGGCCCCTTGTAACTTATTTTCTGTGACTCTACCTGAAGCTTTGCTGTATATTGAGTGCTGAGAACAGCTGTCAGCTGGTGGCTATGCTCATGAACTTCCCTCCCCAACGGGGAGGGGGGAGAATAGCGGCCACAACATTTTTTGACTCCTAGGTACTGGAACCTCAACAGAGTGTCCCTCCAGATCCCCATTTACCCACTTTGCTGGAGCCTCCAGCACAGAACCATGCTGCTCTGATTTCCAGGCAAGAAAAATGAAGACAGCAACTGTCCCCATGCAGTGGGGCCATGTCCCAGGCAATATGCAAAGTGTTTTACACTTGTAATTTCAAGATTGATGAACAGAGACTGAAGGGCAGGGGCTCACAGGGTCCTCCTAATAGCTGTGTAGCACGGGAAGACAATGGTACAAGTCATAAAACCAAGGGAGGCTAAGAGGTCGACTCGATTCCAGGCTGGCTCTGCCTGTGAGTGCTGGTTTACTTCCGGGGCCTGCAATTCCTCTTGAAGCCAGTTATCCCCTCTCTAAAAAGGCAACAACATTAACATATTCAGAGCAGTGATATCAGGGTTCATGAAACAAAATAAATGAAAGTTTAATTGCATTGCTGCAATTAAATATTGTTTTCTTAGGTCAGATTGTAGAGCCAGATAGCCTGGGTTTGAATCCTATTCCTGCCACTCATCAGTCATGGACCTACCTGGTGATTCCTTAACCTCTCCGTACTTAGATTCTTCATCAGTAAAATCATTCAGGGTTGGCCCTCCCTGGTGGCACAGCAGGTTAAAGCACAGCACTAAGAAGCTTAAGCCACTTCTGCATGAGTTCGATTCCCGCCTGCCCCGGAGGTGACCACATGGCGCCAGCTGACCTCTCCTGACCCACCCGCTGCTCCCCTCAGCAGTGTACTTCATCTATCTACCTGTTCTGCTCCCCACTCTGTCTCTGGTGAATCCTCTCACCCTCCACATCTCTGGCCTGTACCCCAGTTCTGTATGAATAAATAAATTTTTTTTAAAAAATCGTTCAGGGTTGTTGGCATCCATAAATGTGTACAGGAATGTGCTTAAACTAGCATCGGGCACCTAGAGAGCACTATGTAGTCTTAAGTTTTAGCTGTGATGACAGCGATGTGCTGACAACAGTATTTGAGAGCAGCCACCCCACCCAGGAAGCAAATCTGCACTGGTGAGGCCCAGTATTCCAGAGGGTTTGAGTGAGAAGGGACCCTGAAGACCCTCCTTGCCACAACACCGGCAGGGAGAAGAGCACTCTGGGAAGGTGGCTGGGTCAAACACTACTCTGGTCCAGGACAGGCAGGACACATAAACCAGCCTGCAGAATTCTCAGAGTTGGCTCGACTGCCATCACTTCTGGCAATAGGGGCTGACTGCAGAGCCACCTGTGTGTGTGTCCCTCAAGGAGTCCTGGTGGCTGGAACTGAGATGTCAGGAAGTGGGCACACCACTGCATTCTTCACCCAGGCAACTCCAGTGCTCCTGAGCACCAAACAGGCACTGCAGTCTTCTGTTGAACACAGATAACTTAGCTGTCATTGAAAGAGGGCCCCTGCTTCCTGTCCTGGCACTAATATCTGCTGTGTGGTAGTGTACACCCTGACCTCTCATTTCCCAGGCCACTGAGGAAAGCAGGTCAGCTGTAGGCCTCTCTCTCTCCCTGACACACACATACAATATCTGAGTGAAATCACCAGAAAAGACATAGGATCCAAAGGAGAAAAAGCCCCTCACAGGGTAAGTAAGAGTTCAGCCCACAGATCAGTGTTGTGACAAGAGTCAGAACACCTGAAAAGGATGGAAACATCTGGACAGTCATTTGGGAACAGTGTATGGAAACACAAACATGACTCTGGAAAGCCTTGGCAACGAAGGCCTTCCTCCTTCATCACAAGCCTGCGTGGACCCAGCCCTGCAGGAGGTCAGGGTGTAGATCAGGCCTGGCTGTGCTGAGCAGACTGCATCCCTGAGCCATCAGCCACCATTCCCACGAGCACCTTTCCCAGTCGGCCACAAAGCACATAATGTCCCAAGGCTGCTTGTTGCCCCAGGGATGACCATGCCTGGCTCCCCCAGCACGTGCTTCCTCATGTGGCCTCTTGGCTCTCAGCATGGCAGGATCATTCCCTTAGAATCATTTTCCTCTGACCTCAGCCTGGCCCAGACCTCACATAATCCTGTGAGGACAAGCAGGGCAGCTGGGGGTGGCAGAAGCAGCCCAGGCAGGCCAGGCCCTTCAGGAGGGTCCTTATCTTCGAAACCTTGCTAGAGTCAGGGATCCCATGAGGCCCGGTCATAAGATAAAGCCTCCTTTCCTGCACCTGGTTGGCCATACCCAGCACTGAATCACTCACAGCCTGCAGGGGGCTGCGGGCACCACTCTGGCAACCCTAGGGGTGCTTTTTCCAGAACAGGTCCTTGGGGATTGCCTCTCTCAATGTCTGTCACTGCTCAAATTGAGAATTTTTTGAAGAACATTTGATCACCTTGTGTCTGGCTTTGCTTGTTACAGTACAGTGTGCTTGTTTTAAATACCTGGCAACCCTATATGATATTTGAAGGAGACATTTCAGGATCTGAGTAAATTCTGAATCACCCTTGCAAATTTGTTCCTGAGCCACGAGTTATTGGGGGCAGCTCTCTGGAGAAAGGGATCAGAAGGCAAGACTTGGTAAGTGGGTAGTGAGAATTTCAACTGGCCCCATCATTTTAAAATAATTTTTTAATTAAAAATTATTTATTTATGCATACAAAATTGGGGTACAGGCCAGAGGTGCAGGGATGGTGAGAGGATTCACCAGAGACAGAGTGGGGTGCAGAACAGGCTGACTGACGAAGTACACTGCTGAGGGGAGCAGCGGACGAGACAGGAAGGGTCTGCTGTGCCCTGAGGGTCAAGTCCGGGGTGGAGCTCCAACTAGCATGGAAGCCTCTGTAGCCAACTTCGCAGTGCTGCACTTTAACTCCCTGCACCACCAGGGAGGGCCAGGCCCCATCATTTGTAAAGTTGCACAGGAGACCCCAATGCATTCTAGTTCCTGCTCTTATCCTTATCATGCTCAGAAATGGTCCTGGCAGCTCCCAGGCTACCCTTTGGGATCTATGACTGAAGCGGGGGAGAATTAGTGCGCTTCCCAGGGCCCCAGGGCTAAATACAGAGCAAATGGAGGTGCTACTCAGAGTTTCTGGGCTTGGACCCTATAGGAGGTACCCAAGAAGCAGCCCTAGCCAGTCAGCATGGGTAAAGCCACCTGTCTTGAGACTGTGGAACATGGGTTGAGCTGTGGGGGAAGGGTTTTGCCGGGCAGTCACTGAAGGGAGCCCCAACATAGAGCAGTGCTGGGCGCCAAGCACTCATGACCTCACTAACTGCAGGTGAACCCCTTCACTTTACAGAGAGGGAGTAAGGATAGGGACACCTAAGGACCCTAACTCCTTGGGGCCCTCTCTGGTGAGTCCTGTGTCTTGTCTCCACCCTGATTTCCAGACTGTCTGATTTTACCACCCATTCTCCTTTGCTAACTCTCTTTCTATTCCTGCCCTCACCCTCTCACCCTATCTGCTATATCTCAATTTTGCAGGCCCCAGTTCTTCTTCAAGTACAGGAGGGAAGGAGCAGATGGGGAGACTACATGGGCCTGGGGGAGGACTTGCTTACCTTTCCCAGGAGGTCCAGGCTGTGGAGCATGAGCCAGAAGATGGTACTGCGGATGGTACTGTTGTGCAGAGAGGTCAAGCTGCTCCCATGCGTCAGAACAGAAGGGAGCTGAGCAAGGCGGAGACCACACAGGCCTCAGTGGCCCCTACCCCAGCCGGGGCCTCCTCCCAGCATCTGTCCCAAAGAGCCAGCAGAAGCCTGGGAGCCTAATGCTGGCTCCCCTCCCCCTTCTCAGCAGCCAGCAGTTACACTGCCTCTCTCTCAGCCTCCCCTTCAGGTTTCCATGATTAGAGACTTCTATATGCTGAAAATTTTCCACAGTCAAAATTCTCCACATCGGCAATGTGGAGACCACACCAAGGATTTGTCCATCGCTGAAACTACAGCCTCAGGGAAACACACAGGCAGCCACAAACCCTCTGCATCCTGGTGCAACCCTCTGCAGCCCAAAAATGGGTCCCCTTCTGCTGTACAAATCACAGTCCCACCTCAGAAATAAACAAAGTTATTTCCCATCTACAGAAAAGGAAGTGAAAATTCAAAGAGGCTTGGTGGTTTATTCAGGCTCATGCAGGGAGTAAATGAATTAAAGCTAGCACCCAGGTCTAGAATTCCAGAATTTTCTTCAAACCACATGCTCAGGGCCCTTCACAGGCACATACATACACCTGTCTGAATATGCAGACACACAGATGTGACAGACATGGAGACATCATCTGATTTACAACAGAAGATGCCAGGACAACGGCTTACTCTGTTCCTTACTAGGTCTCTGTCTCCTTTTTCCTCTTCCCCATCGTTCTGAACTGAACTTTCCTACCACCTACTGGCTGTTGTAACACAATACTTCACAACAGAGGGATTTTCCTTCAACAGGGAGGTTTCATTCAGACCCGGCCTCTCCTCTCTAAGATCACCACACTTCTCCCCAAATACCTATGGGCCAAAGGCCCCTAAACTATAGTTCTTCAGAAACCTCAGTCCCTCTTGCCCACAATGGCCCTCCAGTGGTTCACTTAGTTCTTGGATATTCCAAAACCATAGGTAATTAAGTTTCCAGATTAATCACAGAATGTCAGGGCTTTAGTTCATAGAGACCAGTCATTTTACAGGTGCAAAAATCTGATATCCAGGTTCACAACATGAACTAGTTAAATGACCAAGTAAGCAGGGACATTCTGGACTCAGTTCCCAAAGGCCAGCTGAAGATGAGAGTCCCTCAGGCAAAGGCACCAGATCCTTCCCTGCTCACCCTGCTCCCAGGGTGCTTTCCAGGCCTGAGTCCAGACCAGACCCTCAGCATCAGGGCCACAGTACACAAGATCTGTGTCTGTCCCCCCACTGGGGAGACTCCACATGTCACTGACCTTCAGCTTCCGGTTATCCTGTAGCTCATCTACCACAAATGTCCCATTGCCCAGCTGCAAACAGGGACAGGAGTCAAAGATGGAAGAGAGCCCTACTTCCCTCTCTCTACAGGGAGCCCCTGGGTTGCAACAAAACACACCCAGGGAAGACCTCATCTCAGAAAATATTTTAACCTTCAAACACCTGCCTAGCCTTCCATAATCCGGCTTCACCTGCAGTATTCCCCAAATGTCCACTTACCATAGTCGAGTAAAATCAGCTGACTTCTAGTCCCTCAATAAAACCAACCTCTTGGGCCCTCGCTGGTGGCACAGTGGGTTAAAGCACAGCACTGAGAAGCTGAGGCCACTTCCGCATGAGTTCGATTCCCGCTTGCCCTGGAGGTGACCACATGGCGCAGCAGACCTCTCCTGACCCGCCCGCTGCTCCCCTCAGCAGTGTACTTCGTCGATCTGCCTGTTCTGCTCCCCACTCTGTCTCTGGTGAAGCCTCTCGCCGCCCCTGAGCCTCTGGCCTGTACCCCAGTTCTGTATGCACAAATAAATAAATCTTAAAAAAACAAAACAAACAAAAAAAAAAAAACCTCTTTACCCACCTTGAATCTCTCATCTCAGGATCTTTCCTCTTCTTTGGGGATACTCTCCCTCCACTCCCCATGTTTCAGTTCTGTATGTCACCTCTGGGAATCTAATCTACTTGTCTTTCATAGACTCCTGCTCTTCCCCTTCTTAACACTTTCTCCACTTTATTTTGTTTGTATGTTAATAAATATACAAATACACTGACTGCCCCACTAGCATCTTGAAGCAGCCTGTCTACGTCCTTCACCGTGTGCTCAGCACTTAGCAGGAGCTTGACAGTTATTAAATGAATGAACTCCTCTAAATAGACCTAGTCTATTCCAATTTCTGTTCCTTGTTCCTCCCCTTTCCCTCTGCCTAAAAGTATTCTCCCTAATCTTCTGTTTGTCCACCAAATTTTCAGAAAATTCAGGGTGAATTTTTATATAAAAATTTCCCAAGTAGCCTTGAACTCTAGCTCACTAGACTACTGCCCTCTTCCAAAGCACATTTTGTGAGATCAAAACCTGACTTTGTAATCAAGTAATGATACTGTCCTAGGGAAGTTGTAGGGAAAACAGTTGGGAAATAGCCCTAGAAAATGCAAGATGAAGAATCCTTAAGTCCACATTTCTTACTGCCCGAATATTTCCTGCTGCCTGAGCCATTAACTTGTCACTTTGTGTTTACTGCCTTATGATATCATTTGAGATTTTAAACAAAATCACTGTTTAATTTTTCACATGAGTTGTCTACCCAGAGAAACTCAGTATTTTGGCCATGCAATGAACTTAAAATACCAACATCTCTGTTCCCTTAGCGTATGTGTCAGACACAGGTTTAGTGTAGGTGTCCAGTTAAGGTGAGCTGAAGGAGTGGACACTCCCAAGTGGCTTCTATTGCCATCTTCAGGCAGCAAGGTTACTACTGGCTGCCTCAGCAACCACCTTTATCTTCCCATTGTCTCCCTTACCCTAGTCCCTCCATGGCCGACAATAGAATGCATTTAGATTTATCCAAGAACTGAATGTGTTACTCTCTCTTCCCTCTTGCACTCAGAAAACAGAAAATATTGCCTGATCAGGTTTCTGATCCACCCACCTGTCCAATTTGTTCATTCGTTCAGTTGCTACTCCCTGACCACCTCCTGTTTGCATGATGCTCTGCTAGTGCTGTAGGGTCAAGAAGATGTTCAGGACATGGACTCTATGTCCAGAAAGGAATCAAACCCAATGATAATACAGTTCATGACAAAGCAGAATGTGCTTCAAGAAACAGAGGCAGAGATTAAAAAGCTCTGCTGGGGAGGGCAAGGAAGGCTTCCTGGAGCAGGCAGAATTTGGAGGGGGAGATTGGAAAGCTTAGATATATACTGAGAAGGAAGGGCAGGAGAGAAGGAGGTTGGAAGAGAAGGAGAAGAGAAACAACCAAATGAAGGTGTTACTGTGGGTTTTCTGAGCAAACCCTTTAACTTTAAGTTTCCTGGGCTACGGAAGGCAGGGCATTGTCCTCTCCCCATGGGCCTAGACATCTCTCTCTATCATGTCCAACCCTTACCTTACCCAGTGAATTCTTTTTTGAAGCTATCTTTTGGAATTAGCTGGTTCTGTGCACACAGGGACAGGCGAGACCGACTTTTGCACCATGAGGCACACTCCTAGTGATTTCTTTGCATTCAGATTTATCCAAGCCAAACTACTTCTCTATAGGTTCAGTTAACAGTATCTTTTTTAAAAAGATTTATTTATATATGCATACAGAATGGGGGTACAGGACAGAGGTTGGGGCAATGGAAGGATACACCAGAGACAATGGGGAGTGGAGCAGAACATGCAGATGGACGAAGTACACTGTTGAGGGGAGCAGCGGGTGGGTTAGGAGAGGTCTGCGTGCCATGTGGGTCACCTCTCTGGCCAGGGATCGAACTCATGAAGTGGCTGTGGCTAGCTTTGCTAGCTTTGTCGTGCTGTGCTTTAACCTGTTGCATCACTAGGAAGGGCCCACATTTAACCTCAGAACGCACGTCTGACTTTCTGAAGCCCTACATGTCTCTTTCCTCATGCACAAATATTAACTTATGTAGACAAAGCTATTATTATTATTGCTATTTTTGATAGGTGCAAAAAGATTCTGTGTCTTGTCACCACTCACCAAGATGGTGACAGAATCCCAGTCTCTCGATTCCCATCGAGAAGTCTATTTTACTTGTCGTTTTACTAAATCACTTTTTTCCACAAGCATAAATAAGGAAATGAGGTAACATATATTCCCTGCTGGTTCTGTTTCAAACTATTGACATTTCAGATAAATGGAGGTGAATGGTTGTCTATATTTGGGTGTGGCTGGTGGGTTCACTATGCGGAACAGTACCAGCAAGTAGGTGCTCTGAGAATCTTCCCTTGCTACAAACCCATCCCACACCCACTTCTCATACCACCCCATTCTCCCTCTTCTTTTTTCAGCCTCATCAGTCCATCTCCTCCTCCTCATGAAAATTAGCAAAAGCACTGAGGAAATGGCATATCTTTATGCCAGGCAAAGCCCCAGCACCTGTGAAGCATCCTGCAGAGGACAGCAACGAGACCCCTTGCTGTCAGTCAGCACAGCACAGTGCTGGTGTGGCACTTGGTGGCCCCTCAGAGGACTTGTCCTTGTGACCTCCAGTTGCTAGTTCCCACTGATATAGCAGTTAACCTTCCACTCTGACTTTCAAAGCTTCATTTGACAAATAGTTACTGACTGCTTGGTCTGAATTCTGCCTTCACCCAGGTTATACTCTAGTGAAAGACTCTTCATTGAGCATACTCTTGCTCCACGACCCACTCACTCGTGTAAGCTGGAACTCTAAATTCTAACCAGATTCCGCCCACTTGGCTCCCTTAAGCAGTTGGCCCACATCGAATTGTCAGACCTAGTAAATCCTCCCAGCCTTACTTTGGCCTCATCTCTGTCTTCCTGCCTAACATCCCACTCCTGATCTATTTATTCCTCCTCCCTATCTCCAGCCCTCAGCTAGAAAACACAGATGTCCCTTCCCACATCCTGAGTACCCCTCAGGTGGGAGTCCAGGCTCCTTACCTGGGCACATACAGCCCTCTCCTGGCCTCCAGGCCAGCACTGTCCAACAGAAAAATTTAAGGTAAAGTAAATTTTTAAAATAAACTTTAACCAAACATAGCAAACATAACTCTACAGGTAATTAATATTTATAATATCAATGGGATATATTATGTGTATTTTATATAAGCCTTTGAAGCTGGTTGTGTTTATACTTTCAGTGCATTTCTCCCTCTTTTTCTTTTTCTCTTTTTTATATCCTCCACCAAACCACCAGGGCCCATACCCCATCTGCCTTTAATCCCCTTTCCCTTCACCTTCCCCATTGTTCCCTCTGGTGGCCATTATATATATATATATATATATATATATATTTGGCTGAGTTCAAGATTTATTCCTACTATTCTTTATATATGAACATTTTAGGGTATTTATAATGCACAGATGAGTGGAACCATCCAATAACTAATTTTCACTAATTTCACTCAACATAATTACACTGAGGTTCATCCATTTTGCCCCAAATGCCACCATTTCATCTCAATAGCCCCGTTTCAAGAGCTCAGCTACCATGTGGGACTGGTGGCACCATACTAGCCAATGAGGCGATAATCTCTTCATAAAGGCTTTCCCCGGGCCTTTATGCACGCCTAGGAGACTCCCTTCACCTCCTTCAGTCAGCCACCCTCTGTGAAACCTTCGAGATTCCATTAACTATTATTCTTCAGGAAGCCTACCCTGACTTCTTGGTCGGTAGAGATGTCTGTTCTCTGTAGAACTAAATTCCTTTATATTTACCTATATCATTTTGTGTAATATAGTAACTAATAGTTTTGCTTGTCTGTCTTCTCCACTGAGGAGGATTTACCATGGAGGTGATGAAGCTTAAGTTTCAGGGTCCACATGTCCCCTATACAAACTCTTTCCAAAGCCTTGTGCTTAATTTTATAGCAATCGTTTTATATTCTTTTCCTTAAAGAATGTGAAACCTCCACCAACTTCCACTTCTCTGGCAGGCTCATCTCTTGTGGACTGGGATTATGGTTTATGACTTAGAATATCCCCAGATCCTACTCAGGCCTTATACACAAAGATGCAATAAATGTTTGCTGAGTACATGAATGGTGGAGTTCTTGAGGGCTAACACCTCTCTCCCTCTCTTTCAGAGTAGCATCAGCTAGTCCTTGACTTTAGTGAACATACATTTGTTGTTAGTGATTCAGAAATATCTATTTCCAACCCAGATTTTGTTCCTGATCTTCAAGTACATTTCAACTTCAACTGCTTCTAAGACATAGCAACCCTGAGGTGACATAGGCACTCAAATTCACCTATCTTCCTTGGTCCTTCTTTTCTCACTGTGAGACCACCATCCATTCTGTTGTTCAAGTCAAAAACCTGGCAAGAAGTCAAACAAAGGTTTGACTTCTGCTCTC